CTCCCCGCCGGCCGAGCTACCCGCTTGCCTTACCGCCTGGTGTTTTAAACCCTCCCTCCAGCACACCCAACTCCGTCCAGGAGCAGTCACGCTGCCGGCGCTGCCGTGTTACAGCCCGAGCTGCGGAGGGCTCGGGTCGCTCCCGCCCCACAGGCTGCGGCGCGCCGGTCGTGCGAGGGAGCGCAGCCTCCCGAAGCAGCCGGCGGGAGAGGAGCCCAGCCCGGAGGTGCGGTGGCAGCGAGGGGGTGGCGGTGTTCGCGATTTAGTTGGCAAGAGCCCTTCAGAAAATGAGACCTCTGGAGCGGCAGCTCTAGTGAATTACTGATGCCTGCTTGTCAAGCAGGTGCAGGAAATTAAATGATAATGTTATTTGAACATGTATTCACTTTGCTGCTGTTGGGGAGGCTGGAAAAGTTAATGATGGTGTAGTTGCCGTCAGTACATGTGACTGACAGAATAGCTCTGATGATGAATAAGGTGCCTTGTGAAAATACCTATAAAAATTGCATCTTAGGTATGTGAATTTTTTTTTCTTACAGAAAATGTGATTAGAAAAATATTTGTCATTTTCTGTGTTTCATTAGATTCACATGTATCTATACATTGCAGTCAGCTTAGAAGAAAAGCTGATACTGTCTTTAGAGGACAAAAGATACGTTGTTAAAGCCAGACTGTATTTTTGTGAGATTTAAACTGTAAACTCAATACAGGCTGCTCTAGGCGCTTGTATATTTTGCAAGGCAGAGAAATACCGTATTTTGGTTTCTTTTGCACTTAAACTGAAACAATTGCATGTTGTCCGTGTTCGATTTGAAGACTGCTTCAGCAGTCACTGTCAGTGTTGTGACACCGAACAGCTTAGCTAATATATTTCAAATTGAAAACCTGGGAGAAAAATAAAATTAGTCATTACGAATGAAATGAAAATTTAGTGCCTTTACAACTAATGTCTCTGAGTTAATATTTCTAAGGTGTTACTTACAAGTTTAATAAAGACCTAAAGGACTATATTTGTCATTTCTTTCTAAATAAGTCTCTCTTTGTAGCTCCTTACAACAGATAAATGATAGACTTTACGTGTCACTAGCGACTTCCTCCTTCCTTTGCAGTTAATTCTTGTTTGTAGTGTTCTGATGGGGTGAGGGGAAGAGAATAAGAAGAGATTGTTCTGAATATGATTATTTTCTGTTTCAGATTTGTAGCTGATTGTTCACATGTGTCCAGGGGGAGATGAAGTACATTGGATCCTGCATAGTTTGGCTTTGTATGGCAGTCTTCCTCCTCCTTCCTGTTTCTACTTCTGTGGCAGTCAGTGACCAGACAGGTACTTCTTTTTTTTTTTTTCTTCCCATCACAGACGAAAGGCATAAATCTCAGTACTGAACAAATGTGAACAAATAATGACAGTACATGGAAAATAAGCTTTTTTTAATCTATTTTTTTTTTTTAAAGTCTAAGTTTGAAGCAGTTCCAAAGCAGCCTTTCTGTTTCCTGTGCATGGAAGATTCATGTTTGGAAGCAGTTGTAGTTCCTAGGAGTTTTGTTTTGTACTTTTTTACCTTACCACACAAAACAAGATTCTAAATCAGAGCTTGCAAAACTTTTGTGAACAAAATCATGTGACTTTATTAGAGCAGATCAGTGCTCACATTGACTTAAACAACCTAATGCTCATGTTAACCTTACCTAAACTTAATCCCTAGACCAGGTCATACATTTCACAGATGTAGAGTTAGACAAACCCTTGTACCTAAGAAGACAGGGGAAAGGAATATACTGATATTGTTTAACTTAAAAGCTGTTAGCCGTCTTCGGCAAATTTTCTCATACTTCTCTGTTTTCTTCTTTCTCTTACTGTCCACGTGGTATCTAGCTCTCTCATTTAAACTCCACATTGATTCTCCAGAGTGTGGTAAATTCTGTCTTAAAGGCATGTCACATGTGCTTGTATAATAAGGAATTGTGAGTTTTCTAGAATTGCTCAGCCTCAGCATGCACCTCAAGTTTCTAAAATTTTCCTACAATTATTAGCAAGGAGAACATGCTTGTTGCTATTTAAATAGAAATAAAAAGAGTTCTTTTTAATTAATTTTTTTAGAAAATGAAATTTATTTTTAGTAATGCGGTTTTTCCAGAAACCTGGTGGAAGATAATAGAAGCTATACATATACAACAACTTTGAATTTCCATAACACATTTGAAACTCAGGCCCAAGAAATTTAAAAAGTCAACGACTAGGATAATAATCCTTTTACTACTCCTGGAAACAATAAATAGTAATATTTTAAAAATAATAAGTGTCATGTGCGGGCTCTAAGGTAAAAATAATATGCTGTGAAGAGTCTGAATTTAAGTCAAAGACTTTTTTGCCTTATATTTTTAGGGCAGCAAGGCTAAGTGCTCTACTGATGAATTATTCTTAACCCCTGTGGGAGAGTGAGCCTACATCATAGCCGTGCAATCATTCTCTTCAGCTGTCTGAAAGAAGCAAAATGGGTTGTCTCCTCTCTCATTGCTAGCTGGTGGATTGTAGAAGGGAAGTTTTAAAAGGGTGTGAGTGCAGGAGGTTACCTAATAATATAAATGAATAAATGGAAACTTGAAAAATATTAAAACAAAATGCCAGGAAGCAGTGTCTCTCTTCTTTTATATTTTTTTTTTTTCCTAATGAAAAGATGTCTCAGTAAAAGGTGGACCGGTCATAGAAGATGTGACAGATGCACTGAACTGCTAATAAACGGTGTGTCTGAACTGTACATTATGTTCTGTTAGAAGTTTGTGGCTAGGCAGCCAGAAGGGAAGTTGCAGTTTTCCTTAACCTGATGGCCACAAATGGATCAAATATGGGTCAAATTGAACCGCTGGGAAGAAGAGGAGAGATTGAACCTCTCCTGAGAATAACTGATGGTGTGCAATTGAGAGAAGCTTCTGCAGTTTGAGGTGATACAGGCAGATGGTGAGGAATAACAAGTAGATAGCTTCCAGCTTCAGCAGCTCTGCCGACAGCAGGGAATAGGCTCAGAGTGAAGCCTCAAGTTGATAACAGGAAAGAGACTCTTCTAGAGACTGAAGGGATGGTTACTGTCCAAAAAAGAAATACAAGTTATAGACCGACCAGAAAGCAGGAGCTGAGAAAGAACAGACCCTGCAATGGTGCAGTGGTAAGGGGTACAGATGTCTCTGCAAGCCTTTTGTTAATCTGCCCCGTTCTGAACAGAGTACTCTGTGTTGCAAAGTTGTCTCGTTCTAGTTTGATAATTTGTATGCAGATGAATCTGTTACAAATTGGAAATGTGCTCACTTCAAGAAGAGAGAAATATCTAACCTCCTCTTCTTTTTTTTTTTTTCCTTTTTTTTTTTTTTTTTCTCCCTTTCTTTCTTTCTTTCATTAACTGGCTCTTTCTTGGGCCTTTGTTCTCTCCCATGTACCAGTTCTGTTTGTATCAGCATCTGTCCTTCAGGATCTGCCTGGGCAATCCTTTTGGCTTTCTTCTTTCAACAACATATGCATAGCATTTATTTCTCACTATGCCAATACGAAAGTTTTTCCAGCAAAGCCCATTTAGATAGGATCTTGGATTATTGCATTTACCTCCTGAAATTTCTCACCTGATCTACTTCAGTCTAAAGGAATGGCCTTCAAATGCAGAGAAAAGTAAATTAAAGTTAATTTGGGAGGGGCAGGGGGAAGAAGTGTGTTAGGGGAAGGAAATCTCTTATGCAAGAGAAAGGATTAACCTGTGTGCATATGTAGGGGAGAGCTTTCTGAGTTGGCATTCTGAATATACTTTGGGACTTACTCATTGGGTCAATATTGTAATAAGTAAATGCCAGTATTGGAAAAAATGTCAGAGAGTGACAGAGTATGCTGGATCTTCTCAGAGCAGTCCTCCTTAGGCTCTGAATGTGTGCCAGTAACAGTTAGATTCACATCGAGGATTTCTTTCAGTTCTCACTTGTCCAGAAGTTTTGATGTGCTAGTCGTTCATCAGAAGGAAGCCCTCAATTCTAATGACAGAATATAGCAAATCTGAGGGAGAGGGTTCACGAGTTTTCCCCAATCATGTTTTTGATCTGACTTCAAGAATATTTTCTTCATGTTGTCAACTTACATTTTTTTTGCTGTTGTTGTTGGGAACATTTGGGTTTGGAGCATGGACGTGAGCTCTTTCTGTAGTGACACATGAAGTTCCAATTTGATCATTCTTGAATGCTTCATATTAAGAATATTAATACTTTGTCTCATTCCCAGATCATGGCTGTTTTTTCAGCTTTCTTTTACAATTACTGTTTTTCAAAGTCACTTGCTAACCCATGAGAAATGTAGTATAAACAAAGTCCTGGGACTGTCAGGCATGGTGAATTTCCATTGCCTTCTGACGTGGAATGTGTTGTGAAAAGTATTGGCTCTAGATCATAATTTTAGATAGGCACTTTAACGCAAATACAGTGAATGGTTTCAAGTATGCAAATCAGTTCAGCTTTTTGGTTTTCATGTTTTAGTACGGCTAGATACTTCTCAAAATCAAGATAATGGCTCTACAGTAACTCTCATATACAATGTCTTCATATTCTTAATATACTGAATATTTAAGGTTGGATCCACAAACTGTTGTTAGCATTGCAGTGTTTAATTAACTCTGCCACCCTTGGATTCCTTAACTTACAGTTAAATACTAAGTCTTCTTGGCCAGTGAATAAGGAGCTTTAGGTATCCGTAAGAATGTGGTTCACGAAAGCCTGCACACTGTGGAAAGCCACTTCAGCTAGTGAGTAAGTAGTACATAAGAGACATCCCAGACCACAAAGGCGAACGTTCTCAGCTACACACGTTCTCCCAGTGTGAAGCCTGTAAACTAGATCAGCCCATAGTTCTTTCTCTACCTTTCCGTAAAAAAAAAAAAGCATCAACTCCTACAGCCAAGATATTCACCTGGGATATCATAGAATCATAGAATGCTTTGGGTTGGGAGGGACCTTTAAAGGTCATCTAGTCCAGCCCCCCTGCAATGAGCAGGGACTAGATCAGGTTGCTCAGAGCCCCATCCAGCCTGGCCTTGAATGTTTCCAGGGATGGGGCATCTACAGCCTCTCTGTAAGACCCCTTTAATTGCTGAACGGCTGCAATAAGGTCTCCCTGCAGCCCTCTCTTCTCCAGGCTGAACAACCCCAACTCTCTCAGCCTTTCTTCACAGGAGAGGTGTTCCATCCCTCCGATCATTTTTGTGGCCCTCCTCTGGACCCTCTCCAACAGGTCCATGTCTTTCCTCTGCTGAGGACTCCAGAGCTGGACGCAGTACTCCAGGTGGGGTCTCATCAGAGCAGAGTAGAGGGACAGAATCACTCCCCTTGACCTGCTGGCCACGCTGCTTTGGATGCAGCCCAGGATACAGTTGGCCTTCTAGGCTGTAAGCGCCCATTGCTGGGTTGTGTCCAGCTTTTCATCTATCAGTACCCCCAAGTCCTTCTCCTCAGGGCTGCTCTCAATCCCTTCATCTCCCAGCCTGTACTGATACCAGGGATTGCCCTGATCCAGGTGCAGCACCTTGCACTTGTCCTTGTTGAACCTCATGAGGTTCACACAGACCCACTTCTCAACCTTGTCCAGGTCCCTCTGGATGGCATCCCATCCCTCAGGCGTGTCAACTGCACTGCTCAGCTTGGTGTCATCTGCAAACTTGCTGAGGGTGCACTTGATCCCACTATGTCATTGATGAAGATGTTAAACAGTGCTGGTCTAAATATGGACCCCTGAGGGATACCACTTGTCACCGATCTCCATCTGGACATTGAGCTGTTGACCACTACCCTCTGGATGTGACCATCCAACCAATTCCTCATCCACTGAACAGTCTGCCCATCAAATCCATATCCTTCCAGTTTAGAGAGAAGGATATCGTGGGGGACTGTGTCAAAGGCCTTAGAGAAGTCCAGATAGATGACATCCATAGCTCTTCCCTCATCCACTGATGTAGTCACTCCATCATAGAAGGCTACTAGGTTGGTCAGGCAAGACTTGCCCTTGGTGAAGCTATGCAGGCCGTCTTGAATACTATGAAGTCCTGTTTTTCACTACTACTCTTCCTCACGGGTGAATCTACTTCTCTGGGATCTAGTGTGAGCATCCTAATACTTGAGCTCCATTGGTATGGATTTCTTAATGCTGCCTGCCAAAGCTGTTATGTTATTTCCATAACTGTCTAAATAGTCACCAGATTTGGAGTTAACTTTCCTATATCAACGAAGTTGTAGATTCAGTCTCCTTCATTTGTCTTCCCACCCTTGTCTGAATTAAGACCTATATTGTAATGTAATATGATGTGGCTTACAGAGTAAAAAAGGAAAACAAAAAAATCACATCTGGTTTTCTGGTACCTCTGTACATGAGGCTACAGGTATGTAGGAAATCTGAATTCTTGACCCTATTTGTAAGCAGGCCAGCTGGTTCTGCTTTTCAGTACAAATACCTTTGAGGTGGACTCGTTGGATGTCATTGCTGACACTTGTAGGTATGTTGCGCACCCTAAAGAGGTTCCCTATGTCTATATATTTATGAAGCCTGATCCAGTAAGAGTGTGAGACATATCCTAGCTAATATGGGTTTCTGCCTGAAGCTTGAGCCTGACATAGGAAGTGGGTGTTATGTTAGGTGGGGCTTTGCTGTTTGGCCACGTTCATTTGGCCGGTCATGCTTGGTGATGGAGACGTCGGTGCCCTTGCAATGTGCACATTGGTGGTGTTAGATGGCAGCTGAAAACTCCACCTGAACATAAAGTTTAATTATAAAGTAGCAGATAGGTACTTGTAAAGTGAATCTAGCCATTACAGGTTATACTTGATCTGGAGGAGGCAAGAGTGCTTATTGGAAGCTACAGTTCCCAGTCAGGAAGTGCACACAAGAGATGTCTGTAAGAGCGAGACTGAAGCATGCACCAGAGTCTTCTCTGTCCTTGTTTGCACGTAAGGGAAAACTGGGCATGGTGCCTAGATGGAAGCTGCAGTGTGCTTCAACAGGTGCCCTGATCATTCCAGGAATTTAGAACATCCCATTGCATGTTGCAGCAGATACGTCTAGATGCAGCACCTTTATTTTTTTTCTGCATAATGCTATTAGAAAACAAAAAAAAATCTTGCTAGCATCTTATTGGAGCAGCAGAAGGTCAGTGGTCTGTGATATACCTGCTTGATCTGCATAAATACATATTTTTGAAATTATTAGGTTGATTTTATAATAATAAGCTCCTACATAGAGCTCATTGATTTCTAAAGATTAAGGTCTGTAATTTGTCTTATGGGTAGGTGATCTCATTAATTTATAGGTATGTTAACTTGAGCTTTGACATCACCATTGTAATATGAATTGTTGACTTCAATCCAGATAGACCCAGTTCTATCATGTGCAGAGCAATCTAGTGTATAAATGTAAGCTCGTTCTTTTTACTGCTTCATTAGTTTTATAGTTATGTATTCTAACAGGCCAGGTAGGTGCATGGTTTCCATGCCTGGATCAGTAGTAAGGGTTTGTCGTGTTCTTTTTCGTTCCTGAATGTTTTCGTGTAGGTTTTCTAATTCAGCTACCCACAGGATGAATGAGTAAACTGTCTGTTTTGTCTCAGACCAAAGAAAATTTAAAGATGTGCCAGCAGTACTAAAAATCTGGGAAGAGGCCAACTTTTTGACTGTATAAACTGTAACTGTAGAAGGAATTTTCATCAATCTATAGCAATGAAAGTTGTCAGTCTTGGTATGGAGAGGTTTTGGTTCTAGTATTTTAGAGTTTTGCCTTAGCTCTCTGTAAGAAGAATAACATTGGGCTAAAGGAGTGCATCAGCAGCACGAGACAGAAGAAGATTCGTAGTAACCCTTTCAGCTCTTCTGGGGATGTGGAATACAACCACATAAGTAGCACTTAAATGGCCTGTCTATGCTGTGACTGTTATGCCACTGATAAAAATAGGTCCACAGTCCAGTCTGTGGCATGTGAGGAATCGTTGCTATCATCTGGATAACACAGAAATTAAGGCTCGAGTCTTTATTTGGACTTGGAAGAAAGTGGCTGGGGGGAATAAGCTAAAACTCTTTTGCCACTCAGCCCTCATGTAAGTTAATGCTAGAAAAAGAAAGCACATTTGTTTCCCGGGTTCTCTAGAGCTTACTACAGCAGTTCAAGATAAAATCAGCAATAAGTAATATTTGGCTTCTCTTATTATATATAAACCTTGGTCAGAAAACATGTAGATTTAAGAAAAACATTTGTCAGTGTACGGGTAACATGCTATTGCGGCTTTAGCCATAACAGGCTTCCTTTGCGCCAACATATTTCTTACAGCTATACTTGTGTAAATCTACCATAACCACATTCAAAACCTACCATAACCACATTCATTGTTTTAGGGTGGCTATAGATAAAAGTCTGTAGTTTAATAATCTGTATAAGTGATTGAAGGCTGAGGTTTGTAGATTAAAGGGTATCTAAGGTGAGCCTGTTTCTGTCCCATAGTGTGTCTGCATATATCAAACGGTGTATTGAAATTGCTATGTTAGTATGTAATTCCAGTGAATGCTTTTCACACTACATAAAACTCCCTGCAAACCAAGAATGATGAAAGATTTCATTTCAGTTTCAGAGATTTCAACATGAATATTCTTTACAGTTCTGCATCTTTTCTGGGGAAAGGGAATTTACAGTGTTTTTAATGCATATGTTTCATCTCTTTTATCATGAAACTTTATATCTATCTATCTGTATATGCATGTATATACACATATTTATGTATGTATATGAAGGAAAGAAAGAATACATTCTCTTAGAGCCTAGAAAGAAATTATCAGTGATGTTACTTGTAATTGTAGATTGCAATTTAGACGTAAAGGACATGGAACTTGACGAATCTTACGAAAAAATGTCTTCTACCCCGTCTATTCTTTAAACAATTGACATAGCTTTCATTAACCATGTTGTCAGGAGATGTCTTTATATCTATATTATATAATTTAGTTTCACTTTTACTGGTTATTTCCAGTTAGCCATTCTTAATCTAGATCAAATACTGCAACACATTTAATAGAATTTAAGGCTTTTGAAGGATAACATGCTTTCTACATTACTGCAGAATGAATGACAAATTTCACACGCTTTACAATTACAAATATAGCTATTTTGAATGTCAGCTTTCAGTCTGGATGCTCTTGGAAATCTTTAAATATAGATGATCTCCAGGTTAATGGTAGGACATTCCTTCTTACTTTTTCATTGAACTGACACTTCAGAAAGCCCCTCGACCTTCACTGTTCAGCAGTTTCAGATATACCTTGGCCATCTTTTCAGTTGCGTCAGTTTTTTTTTTCCAAAATATAAGCATTGCTTACATTATTTATTATATATGGTATGATTATATCCTTGTTAATCCACATTTGGAAATTACTGTTCACTGAAGTAACAATAGATTACTGTCATGGTAATCAAGCATTTATGCTTTATTGTTTCATATTCATTAATGGGGAAAAAAGGTTTTCTAATAATAAAGTCAGAAATAAAAAAAAACCCAACACTTAGAAGTTATTGCTTTACAGAGTATTGTAGGTAGAAAGAGCTTCATAAGACTTTAGTGTGTTTCTTCTGCTTATATTGTTCATGTGAGCTTTAATCATAAACAGCTGAATTAAAATGTGATAAAATTTGTATCTCCTGATATTATTATAAGTGTAGTATGAAATCTGAAATATCATTGCTCTTATTTAGATTTTGTTTTATTGCTGTTTTTCATATCGTAAAGAAACAAAAAGAAACATTCCTGTTAATATTATTATCACTGTCATGATAGTTTGTTCTGATTAATTTTTGTTTGATAGAATTTTACGGTAGATACTAAACTGTATTCTCTTGAAGGTGCTGTGTGTCCTTTAATGAAAACAGTTGTCCATCATCTCAAACAAATCGGCAGAGACAGTCTTGGAGTTTCAGGTAAATGACTGCGTTAATATGGATATCTAAATTAATTGGCTAGTAGTGGATGTAATCATAGTCTGACTGAAGCTGGCTTTAAAGCTGAAAGGACAGTACAGAATGCCACCGCCATGCTCCAAAAGCTGGTGGTGTTTTTAGGAAAGTGGGGTTAAAATCAGAATGTGTTCTTGGAAAGTACTGGTTCAAGTTCTGCAGCCACACTCGTTTCCGTTGTTTTTCCCAAACATCCTTCACGCTTATCAGTTCAGATGATAAAAGGAAATAACAAATGCATTTTTCAGGTTGCAAAGTCATCTACTGAGTGAATTTTGCACTGATAGTTTCTCTGTCAATAAAATGAATATTGGAAGTTTCTCTGACTTAAAGTACTGGTTTTCAAAATAGCTTGTCAGTCTGTACTCTAGAAAGTCACCAAGCATGCTAAAAGTCAGTATTTACCTCCATTATTTTTTTTAAATTCCATTAAATAAACTAAATCATTGTATTGTATTTCACAGGGTTTGATCTAGCAGAAAGCTTTTCTTTGAGGCAAACATCTTGTGGAGGGGAAAAAATCTGTTTTAAACTGGGAAGCGCACCTCTCGTCAGAGACACAAAGTAAGAAAGATACTACTTTAATCCTAAGTGTTTAAAAGACAGAGCTCAGACTAAGTGCTACTAATGAACTGAAACACTGAGCAGTGTATCCAAAGGATGCCACAGAAAGACAAGTATGTCTGTTTTCAGGCATTTTCATCTGTAACAGTTTCTTCTTTGGAAAGCATTTTGATTCAGGTGTGTTTTTCTTCTGGAAACTGGAAGTATCTAGGTACAAAGTAAATTGCAAATATCTTTTTCTTAAATAATGATTCTGATACTGCAAACTGTACTGTTTATACGTAACTATTTATAAAACAAAGGAAACAAAGAACTTTCATGGTGTGACAAGTGTTATACTAATCTTCCCTCAGTGAAGTTGGCTGTCCTCTCTCTCATTGCTGCTGGTGGAATTAAAAAGAGAGAGAGAGTCACCATTTCCTTAAACACTATATTTTCATGATTTTTTTTATCAGTGGAATTGGGATATTGCCTTTTGAGCAGCAACAATATGGTGGGTACTCAGTGTAGAGGTGAAACTAGGCAGCATCCTGTTCCGACACAGGGTGGGATGAAAGGCAGAGGCTGCATGAAAAATCAAAAGAAAGGTGAAAGAGAGTAAGGCACAATGGGATTGGATGGATTTAAGTTTGCACAGGGACAAGGAAATGGTAAGAAGCAGTTAGGAATGTAGTTTCAAGTTCCCCATGCTCAGTGGAGAGAGAGAGAGAGGATCATCTCAGAGCTTCTTGGTTGAGATGTGCTCCGAGTCATGGGACTGTGATTTCTGTACAGCATGTTCCTGTGATGACGAGGGAAGCAACTGTATTCCTGTGTCTTCAGGTTGGGTATTCTCTGTTGCAAGAGGTCTGGCTCCAGCTTGCCTAGGAAAAAATACACCCGGCCCTCGGACTTCCCCTTTGCTTGGATCCTGGGCAGAGCAAAGAGGGGCTGTGGGTAGCGTGAGGCCCGGGGAGAGGGAGAAGAGAGGAATCGGAGGCACCCAGACACAAAACAAAGTGATCTTTGGGAGAGGAGAATGATTAAAGAAATAGGACCTAAATATTCTAGATTACTAGATAGATTCTAAGTTTTTCTGAGGTATTAGATACAATAAATGTATTTTTATGCTTGTGTAATTCTGCAAAGTTAAACAAAGTAATCACTGTCTTTTAAATACCTTGGACATTACCTGTTGAAGGAAAAATGACTAGATAAAATTACTTGACACAGAGTGTGCTCTATTTTTATTAAGGCCTTCCCAACATTGTAAAGATTGTCTTTAGAAGAGGAATGGGTAAAATTAGGTACCACCCATACATGTCTTTACTGAAAATAAGAAAATAAAAAGTTTGTCAGTAAGAAAACCTTTTTTTAAAAGCCATTATTCATTTTTTGGATTTTTACAGGTTTTTTTCAATGGATGGGAATTTGAGGGAAACATGAGACTATAGAAGAGTAGAAAATCCAGGCAATAACAAAAAATGTGGGGCAATTTTCCTTTAGGAGTAAGAAGTTAAGCAGTGCTTTGTGTGCAGTGAAATGCATATTGCAAGCTGACTTACTTTATTCTGAAACTATAAGAAAATCAATGGCAAAAATGGAGTGAGAGGAGCTAGAAATTGGAAAAGGGTAAATTATTTAAAATACATATTTGAGGGAAAATTCATGATTCGAAAGGATTGATTTCTAAGAATTCGGTGGTTTTGGAAGGGGTCTGACAGGTGATGTTGAGGTTGAAAAATTTAAAGCTTTTTTCCTAGCTTTTATTAGTTGGCCTGAATACTAATGTCTGTGTTTTGTTTTCTTTTAAAAACAGTTTATTAGTGAAGGCAGTGAAAATAGGGAATTCATGTCATGGCTGATAGCTGTGGCTTAGCAAAGCCTTAACTCTTAGCGGTTGCAAGGAAAATACTCAGGAAAGACACAATACTTTTTTTTTTTTTTTTTGTACTTTCTTTATGGAGTGGGAGAGAAATCTAACAGGTGGGGGGTTTTTTCTCTATATTTTATCTATTCAGCTTATTGGAAGGAGGATGACTTTTTGAGACAAAAATGGCTAAGTTGCTCTTCATTTTTCAGTGTAACTTGGGCAGGGGATAAAGAATTTCAGTAAAGGGTACACCTGGAAGGCAGGTGGTTTGGCTTTAATGGTCTCTTGCTTCTCACGTTCCTCTCCCTCCCTGTTATTTTCTTCTGTGTATCCTCATTAAAGAAAAACTAAAGAGAAAATCTTTCCAGTTTGCTCTAAAAATATGCATATCTAATGGATGAAAACTTTAGCTGGATAAAGCAACCGAGCTGATTATTAATAAAATGCATAACAGTGCTAGTGTATGAATATAATTAGGCTGAAAATTAATATCATGTTATTGATACTAATAAGGTACAAGATAAGCTTTTCAGTCAGCTTGCTGTGGAAGTAAATAGTACCTCTTAAATATATCTTCCTGAACAAAAAAAGGGTTAAAAGTATTTTCAATAACATTAAAGCATTGCAGAATCTCCATTAAATCCTAGTTCTTCATGGCAATAGTCTTGCTCATGCTTTTTTAACCTTTCTTCACAGGGAAATGCATGTCGTAATTAAGAACATAATTTACTTTTTGTATTCAATATATTGAATATATAATAGCTTTCTGTTGTTGAGATAACACTTCAGAGATGATTTTTAAAAATCATTTGTTCAAAATATTTTTGACACTCTTCTGAACTCCTGAGTTTGTTTCTAAAAATAAGTGCAGAGGGCAGTCAGGAGCACAAAGTCAGGTTTTGACATAGTAGGGTTACAATGAAGGATAGTCAGGAACTCAGATATCTGTCATCATAACCTTATAATTTACTTTATCTCAGTTACCCATGTACAATATCTTGTAATTTATTATTTTATTTAAATCTCCCTCTGTTACCTTATGTCAGATTGTATGGTTCCAGACTCCTAGCATTCTTAGATGCACAGAGGTTTTTAGGATCATTCTGCCTCAGAAAATATTTTAGTAGACGTGGTGTGCAGTAAGCAGCAGAACAGTGTTTGTTATCCATCCTGCAGGAAACTGAGAGTATCTGATTAAGCTGACTAGCAAGTATCAAGTAACTTGGCACATCTCTTGCATTTCATTCATTCAGTCGTAGTGTGGGTAATAGAAAGCTATGCTGTGCCATTTTTCTTGTGTGATGCCATTTTGGTTTTTTTCAATGGACCTGGAGTAGTGTTGCACCTATTTATATGTTGTAAGTAATTTACAATGCAGTGTCAGCTTGGGAAATCGATTATGTCTGTGTTGGATTTTAGTTATATCTCTTATCTTTCTCTCTTTTTGTGAGGGGCTTCTGTACGTATTTTGTCTTGTGGTAGGAGATAGATAGCTTTTCTTATGCTCCATGTAAATTACTATTAAATATAAATTTAATTCTAATAATATTTTCAGGATTAAAGAGCGATTTTTAAATTAAAATACTGTGAGTTACTTATTGCGATTCTTACGTGGACATTAATATAAGTTATTCCTTAGTATAGTAGTATAACTGAGCCTTTGAATCCTAAAGAAATTCACAGTAAAATACCGTTATGTAAACAATCTAATTATGTAGTCATAATAATAGTTATTGTATGTTTTAATTTTATTTCAGTAAATACATATGGAGTCATATTTTGTTCTCTAGAGTTTAACACGTACAGCCTGTGCGATGTATTCCAGTTTGCCATAGAGCTTGCTGACAAAAGCAGCGCAGGCCTCTGTGCTGATGGCAACTCCTTGAGATCTGCCAGCAGTATTCAGTACTTCTGGACATGAAGCCTTTTAGGTTAATCTTTGTTCTTTAGTTGCCTTAGAGTAAATAGCACTATGATGACATAATTTCACTGTCTGTCTCTTAAAGATGCATCAGATGTCAGTTGTTCCTCTTTCTTACTTTTCTGGGTTGCTGGTGAGCCAGTTTTTTTTCTCTTCTGAAAGTGCCAATGAAGGAGATAGTAAGTTGATTTCGGCTGAGTCTCAGAATGTTTTTGAAATGGGTGTTTATGATTAGAAAATCTTAATGGCACAGTCATGGCTTTCTTATTTTGTAGTTTGTTTGGCTTGACAAACCATATTAATTTACTGAGGAGATTATCTTATCTGGCTGTTAAATGATCTCAGAGTTACAGCAGTTGGGATTACTCTCACGACTTTTTTAGGAATTCTTCCCCTTTCGGTGCAAGATACTGCAAAAGAGCTTGGATTTTGACTGTATTTGGACTACTGAGCTCCAACAGCCATGTTGTCACTGCTGCCAGAAGAGCTATGGCTGTGGCTTGGGCCATGTTTCAGAGAAAGTGTTTCACCTCCTTGTGATGTCTAGTTACTGGATGCAGAAATACTGTTCCCACTTCTGTCAGTATGTTCCAAGCTGGAGGATTCTTTCTGCTAAGAATTTAAATCAATGGTGAAAGAATATTTACATGGGGTTTTTTGTTTGGTTTTGATGCTAACCTTTTTAATCACAAAAAATGCATAGGGAATTGCATTTCCTAGAGCAGAGCTGGCATCAAGTGAGGCAGTTTCTGTGCCCACTGTTAGAAGCCTTTTCATAGCTAGCACTTTGCTTCCCAAAGGCACCTATCTCTGGGTGGCTTTGCAACCATTTACTTTGCTGTATGTTCTCTGGTTGTATCTGCTGAGACTTCTTTCCTCACCAAATAGTAAATACTGAGTTCCTTGCATATGACTTCAGATGTCAGTGAATGACTACATGGGCATGATTTTTGATTAGTTTTGCACATGGCATGTGTTTTGGGCAGCAGAGTCATGTTCAGTAGTCTTCCTGAAAAATATTATTAAGATATATATTAAGAAGTAGTATATCAATTTCTTAAATAGAGCATAGAATGGATAGATGTGAAAATCGCCAGTTTCCAAAAGATTGCATTGAAAACTTTTAAAACATCTACTGAAAATGGCAGTGAGGTGGCACCCCTGTTTGGAGACAGTAGTTACATTTATGCTAACCAGCTTTTATCTGTGCTAGCACAAAGTCCTGCT